TGATCCAGAAATAAGTGGGATGTCTCTCCACAGGCGACCGTCGAACTTAGCGACATTTTTACACCTCAGTAGAGCACGTCTAGTCACCCTTCCCAGTAAGAATAGAGTATCTCCGCAGGTACTAGTGTAAATTTCGACTGACGCGTTGAGGGAACATGGTAAGTGATATGAGGATAAAATCTGATATGATCTATCTGATCAAGATACTCTGACTGAGTGGGTAGTATGGTGGTTGTGATATTCTCTAGGGTGTTCGTGTCTTACTAAATAGTGTTAACTGAATCCTACTACCACAGAGACTTGTACAAGTATGGTAATACTAAATCCAAGTCAAGTATAGACTCTCTCATTGAGGTTTAAAAGTGATACACGGACCGATGCATGCTAACTTACCCATACCTCAACTGATATCTATAAGAGAACCGCAATCCGAAAATATTCAGATATCCAGAAGATAAGATAGCTAAGGGTCAACATATAGATAACAAAGCAACCGATCCCTGTGCGTTCTGTGCTTAATTTGCCCAGTCCGCTTCCCGCATAAGATCCCTTCTAAGATGAGATTAGCAGGTAGATCCAGGATTGAATTTAGGGGCTTTGGCTCGGGTTAATTTGCATTTTAATCGGCGAAGCTTAAATGTTGAGTAGATAATTTAGGTTGCGCAAATAAAGTTTTTGGTATATCAGTCAAGGGTATTGATAGGGATTTTCACATTAAGGGTGTGTTGGAAGTCTATTACGTCTTACAGGCCATTCTTATAGACATAGAATCATCAGCTGTTTGTAATATGTTCTTGAAAGCGTGAATTGTTGACATCTCTCATTTGACCAGATGCAAGCCATAGCGCAAAATTACCGCTTGCTTCCACGCCCGAGAAATAACCAATATGCTGTATATATGCCTCGTAATTATGTTATGCGTCCTTCACATTTCATGTCCGTATGCTTCATGTACAATACCCCAAACAAAGCGCACCTTTTTCCCCTTGAAGAGGTCTTCAAAAGTAACCCTCTTCCAGCTCCGTTCGTAACGCACTAGATCTTATACTTCAAGACCTTGCCAGTCTTCGCTAATCTAGCCGCACAGAGCAGACAGAACCCAACGAGCATCGAGCACGCCGCGAAGAGCTGCGCATATACATAGCGGCCATTGTCCCTCGTGATCAGAACACCAGCGATAGGCGGACCTGTCAGAACGGCAAAACTGACGATTGTCTACACCCATGTTAGTCACCAAATTTTCCCTTCCTTGCAACTGGTTGAAAAAGGGAGGGAAACTCACGAAAATCATCCCCATCCTAACACCCGCTTTCTGCAAATCAGTCGTCAAGCTACTCAACGTAGCCGGGAACATTCCCTGCAAACCATTTCCCACAATGCCATAAACAACCGTCCATGCATAAAGCCCCGAGATAGACGTAACGCCGATCATGGCAAAAGCGCAAATAATCGAGAACAGGGTAACCACAATAAGAATATTCATCGGTCCGGTATACCGATCAGCCAGGTACGCAGGGACCGGACGACCTATAATACCCAGACCGTTCAAAATAAGAGTAAAGGTGAGCGACTCCTCCTGAGAGATGTTGATAATCGCAACACCAAACGAGCTCAGGTAATAGAAAGCGAAATAAACACCCCAGAAGGTCAAGAAGATGCCGACCGCAAACAAAGTGTAAGATGGTTCCTTGAAAGCGGCGAGTTCAATGAGAGGGCCTGTTTTCCGAGGGGGCACTCTCGGTCTGGCTAGGATGTTGCAGATGATTAGACAGGCTAGGGTGAAGAAACCGAAGACTCGCATCGTCCAGCCGTAGCCGATCTGTGGGATCAGGTGCTGGAACATGACGGTGAAGATTAGGCCTCCTGTGGCGCTGCCGCAGGCGCAGATGCCGACGGCGAGCATTTTGCGCTTTGCGAAGTAGGTGGATGTTACTGAGAGGGCTGGACAGAATAGACATCCGTTGCCGATGCCGCAGCAGATTCCTTGCGCGAGGAATATTTGGTAGTATTCGGTTGATATGGAGGCCATGAACATGCCGAGGACGCTGAGGATGGTTCCGACCACTGTAGTAATTAGCATATATCTTCAATTGCGGGGATGTCATAGTTTGGAAGCCATAAGCCCGAGATGCATCTGCGGGAAGAAGAAATACTCACCAAAAACCGGCCGAAAATAACCCGCATCAGTGAACCTCCCCGTAAAAGTACCAATGAAGAAGACAATGAAGACCTGAACGCTCCCAATCCACGAAACATCCGAATCCGAGCGATTAAGAAAGTCGACATAATACGTCTGAAAGATACCAAACGAATTCATATAGCCCCTGGCCCTATTTCAGCATACTTTTCACATTACGGCCAGCACAAAGTGTAACCACGCTCCTGGAGGAACCAATTGAGCTTTCACGCGTGCAAAAGCAACGCATTGGAACCTACCAGGTATTCATAATAATCAAGTGTCCCACTAGGACTTGTGTCCATGCGAGAGCTCCGCCGTCTGGGGGAGGACCGGGGTCTTTCCAACTTGCGACGCTTTGTGATTTTGAGAGTATACCCCATTTTTTCTCTTTGATGGTTTCATTGTTGATTGTCTTTTCGTCGAACTCGGTTATAGCTTCTGGGTATGCTTCGACACTGCTATTGTCGGTCATGTTGGTGGTGTTAATGGGTGGTGTCGGCGGGTTGGTTATTAGAATAGTATGGGTATGATAGTCGCAATTGGATCGCGAATTGATTGATTATTTGGTAGAAAGGTAATTAGACAAATCTACAATGTAAATGATTAGCACGAATGGTTTAAGAACGTAAACCAACATACCTATTATGTCGCATATATTGCATCTATGAAAAGAATTGGCCGTTACAATTGCATAGTTATAAAAGAACAAAGACATGCAGACTAGAGAGTGATTTCCAGTCGTAAAGATAAAAAAAACAAAATGACTCAATAATAGTGGTCTTAATGCGGCGTGGCGAGAAATATTTCCTCGTAGTCCGGTTTCGGACTAGTCCATGTTACAGGGCGCGGAGATGAAAGAATTTCCTGAAGAAGCAAGTCAGCAGAGACGCTTGGATCCGAAGCAAATTGACGGTGAAGTGCCTAGACTTGGTTACCCTAACTTCCCTAAGATCGACTAAGATATAGTCTCCAGACACTAAGATAAGTCTAGACACGTCACCGTAATCGGGGTGGGGCATGTATCTGCCCTTCCCCGATGTTACTCTACCATCCCACTCCATACACTAAGACTGCGGACAAAGTACTTCAGATAGCATCTTGCCACGATAAGCACTAACCTGTCGATCGACAGTAACAGGGAATCAAAAGGTACAGAAAAGGGCTTAATTGAGGGGTAATGTGAACAGGGATCAGGTACCAGGTCCAAGCTCAACTGATAAGGGTATTGTGTTCTAATAAAATGGGCAAATGCCCTGGTATACCTCCGTAGAAAGGACACCTCTTCTTGTCTCTTCTGAACATAGCAAATCCAGTCTCTCTGATTCTTTGACTACTAGCAATGGCTTCGCCACAAACCATCTACCTCGCCGTCAGTCAGGCACACACCCTCGCCAGCACCCCGGAGACTGTCCAGGCATTGTCCCAGCAATGTCGGCAAGCAGCCAAGCAGACCCCATCGCCCGATCTGATTCTCTTCCCGGAAGCTTACATTGGGGGCTATCCTCGTGGGGCGACCTTTGGAGCCAAGGTGGGATCTCGAGACGATGAAGGCAGAGAACAATACCTGAACTACTTCAAGGATGCGGTGGATCTGGGCGATACGCCTGAAGGAGCGGGGGAGAAGTGGGTGAGAAGGGAATTGGAGGGGCAGGACGGGAGTGGAAGTGGAGTCCGAAGGGGCGATGGAATCCGCGAGGAGCTGGAACTAGTGGCTCGCGAGACGGGTATCTTCATCGTCACTGGATTGGTTGAGAGGGCTGGGGGGACTCTTTATTGTGCGGTAGTATATGTCTGTCCCAAGTTGGGAGGTGAGTATCCGCATGTACTTTTGGATGTGGAGTGTGGAAGCTGACATGATGCTATTATCTACACAGTGATTGGCAAGCGGAGAAAGGTCATGCCGGTAAGTATCCCTTCTTGTATTGATATGGTATTAGGCTGACCAGCACTAGACAGGAAGTGAGCGTCTGGTTTGGGGCCAGGGGCAGCCCTCGTCGCTCCGTGCTGTGACAACCACCATCAAAGGCGTGAAACTCACCCTGGCAGCTGCAATTTGCTGGGAGAACTACATGCCGCTGTTGAGGCACTCCCTCTACAGCCAGAACGTCAACCTCTACCTTGCACCCACAGCCGATCAGCGCGACGCTTGGGCCCCTCTCATGAGAACCATTGCCTGCGAGGGTAGATGCTTCGTCTTGAGTGCCAACCAATGCCACAGGAAGAAGGACCAACCCGCTTGGGTTTATGGGGAAAAGTCCGAGAGTGAGGAATTTGCCACCAGAGGTGGTTCTTGCATCGTAGCTCCGAGCGGGGATATGCTGAAAGGGCCGCTGTGGGAGGAAGTAGACGGCATGATGATGGTTGGGGTGGATTTCGATGATTGTCTGAGATACAGATTGGATTCGGATGCTGCTGGAAGTTATTCGAGGTATGCAAGTGTCCTACAGAAATTTTGGAGTGTTGCTAATTCGGTTGAGCAGAAACGATTCGTTCAAGTTGATTGTGAATGGACTTGATATTAGTCCTCCTCTTTAGAGGGTAAGTATGATACTTAGCTTACTTGAACAATACACGTCTGTGATACTGTATTTGCATCCAGAATACACATTTGAAAAAAATGTAATCTAATTGTATAAGACCCCGACTCTACATACCACAAAGTATAGTTTCTATCTATTTCTGGTGGCTGTTCTACAACTGTGTTTCTCGTAACAAACATCCAAAATAGTCTTAAGCTCATACTGCATAATACCGATTACCCTTCTATCCCCTGCACCATCAATCTATACCTCCCAAGTCTATATACCCAACCCACTCAACACTATACAACAGTATACGAAACCCTGCTAACCCCCTTCGACCTCGAAATCTTCTTCACCTCAATCCTCCCGACCAAACTACAATCCGTAACATGTGTCCCTCCACAAGGATAACTTCCCAACCCCTCCATCTCCACGACTCTCCCCAGCGTCTCACCCTCCGGCAACGCAAACCCCTCCGCTACGAAGCACTTCTCCATCAACTCCTCCATGGACCACCAATGAATCCTAACAGGACTCGCCGACTTCACAAACTCATCCGTCTTCGCCTGAATAAGCTCCTTATGCTTCCCCTCCAACGTGCCCTCAAACGAAACCGATGCCGACCCCGGATAATGCGACGCCTTCGACTCCTTCACCGGGGGAAGCACACCCTCGCGACACAGCGCATGGATCGCCAAACTCATGACATGTCCAGCAGTATGGAGCCGAGAGTGCAGGTTCCGCTTCTCAGCGTCCACGTGCTGCTGGACTTCCTCTCCGGAATCAAACTGCGTAGTCCCGACCGGGACGAAGCGGCCCAAGTGCAGGATCTGATTGCCCTGGGCTGGTTGGCGGACGGATTTTACCTCGAAGATGGAAGCTGCTTTGGGCGCTACCTCCGTGGTCATAGTTCCCGTGTCTGAGGGTTGGCCACCGCCTTGGACGTGGAAGATCGTGGAGTCTGTCACCACAGCATGCTCGATCTCTGGGGAGTCTTTGGCGAGAGCTTGGTCTGCCTCTGGGAGGTTGGAGACTGGAATTATGGAGAGAATTTTGGCCCCATGGAGCAGCAGTTGTCCGTCTTGCTGGTAGATGAGCTTTGTGGATTCGGACATCTATTAATTTGTCAGGTTGAGGCCCCGGATTATGCTGACTAGGAGATTTAGACGTACTGTGATTGGGCTAGATCTGCCGATGCGATGTTGGGTGCAGTAGAGTCTTTGGGTGGGCACACGCTGGGATAAAGATAGTCAGAAACGTAGCTGACGGTGCATTTGTGTGTAAATAATATCCAAAACTTATGGTAGATTTAGAAGATAAGTGGTGGAGTATTGGGTGCTAAGCAGGGTATATGTACCTGATAGACGGGGGTGGTCCGAGCTTCTGGCTAATGTAACAACCAGTCCTTGTCACTGTCAGGGCGTGTCCGCGCTAATGTATGTAAGATTTGTAACAGATCATTATCGGTTTGGTCACACTTTCATTGTAACCATAAAGAGGCGAATAGCGAAATACATTTTTTCTCTGAAAGCTATAGCGAAAGGTTCTATTACGAAAAAATCTCTGAACTAAACAACATCCCTTTTTCATACTCGTTATACTCTAATGAAACTAAATACGCGATAGCAATTCCTGCCCCTGTTCCCATTGGTCCCGATCCCTGATATACCGCGGATTTTTCGCCACAATGGAGCAAGGCAAGAAACGCGAATGGTCAATGTCGTAAGTTATGCTCCCACTGACACCATCCAAAGCGGCAACAATAGCGGCCTCGCACATGGTATGACACCGATGACCCCAGCGACCGGCAATCGCCTCCCGGATCCATTTCTGCTCCAGCTGCTGCTTCAACTCCAGGGTATCAGTCTCCAGCGTAGCAAGCTCGAGGTGCCGAAGCGCATCCATAATGATCGCAGCGGCCGGTGCCTCGCGAATCTCCAATGCCTTGTCATCCGTCGAGAGGAACTCGAGCCCGACGAATCGGCCATGACCGAACTTGCCTACCTCCTTGTTCAGGAGGGCAATGGCGTCGATAAGGGGGAGCTCATCGCCGTTGATGGAGGAGAGATTGCCGTTCTCGAAGCTCAGGGTGAGCTTCTCGGGGGCGTAGTCACCGCTGCGCCGCGTCCATTCGTAGGCTTCTTCGGGGATGTTGAAACCCTCCGGGTCACCTAGCGGACCGTCTTCGAACTCACGGCACCACAGGTTCTCGTCTCCGCTTAGCTTGCGCTCAGCCATGATTGACAGTCCAGCTGCGGATAGCTCTGAGGCTTTCTTCTCGCGCGAGGTCACGGAGTGGACGTAAGGGCTTCCGAATTTGCCAGAGAAGCCGTAGAGACGAATGCAGTTGTTGAGGCGGGGAAGACTGTTCTGGGACAAGTTTGCAGTGTGGAGGAGCAAGCCTGCATTCACAGAATTGGCGTAGTCTGTGATCAGACGAGCGATGACCGGACGGGTGATGGAGCTACTGATGGGAAACATGCGCATGTATGATGCGTGAGCGCGAATGGCTGGCATGACTCCATCTTTGACGAACAGCTCGCGACCATCGAGACACTTGAACGATGCTCCGAAGTGAGCAGCGTGTTTGGTAAGTCCTGCCTCGTCTACAGGAGCTCCAACATCTACCGCGACGGCATGGATGTTGGTGTAGCCAAGCTGCTGGAGCTTGAGGAGCAGGTAGGTGCTGTCCAGGCCACCACTGAACATGGTGACGACGGGTGCATCCTTCTTGTCGAAGTCTGCAAGGTGACCAAAGCTTTCAATGGGCCGCCGTTCTTGTTGGGAACGGACCAGCGCGGCCTGGGCCGTGACTGCATCAATGGCACCGTGACCGTTGGATAGTACGGTCATTGTGTTGAGGTATGTGATGAAAGAACAAAGGGTGAATGGAAAAGAGAATGAAGAATGACTTGGACGTTGTTACTGAGATTGCGATGTCTAACAATAACTGGAGGTTTATATCACTACCATGATGGGTAATTATACTACCGCGGGACGTACTTTTCTCACTTTGCTCATACAGCCATCACTCTTACACTTCACATTTAGTCACCCTAGCCAATTCCCTTTTCTCTATTAGCTGCATCAGAATACGAGTCCCCTCATCTCAGCAAGTCCAGATCTTCGGCGATGGCAATCTGCAGCAAGCATCTAGGCTTCATCTTCATCTGCAGGCGCTGTAGCCTCTCACTAGCAGATGTAACCCATAATACGGACATTGCCGTCTCCAGGTGAATACCGTTTCGTGCTATACAACCGTGCTAAATCTGGGGGCCGTTTCACTGCAGAGAAGTGGAGCAGGAGATCTAGCCCGTTACTAGCTGATCCCCAGTCATATTAATATGAGGTATATACAGTGCACCGACATCGGGTTCATCCCGGCACTTACAGGATCGATTTACGTGTTCGGCTTTTTAGCTGCTAAAAAGCCCTGATAGGAATTATCAGGTGATGCATGTGATGTGGGGAAAGAAATGCAGGGGGTGAATAGCTTATACATAGCCTCATCAATGGGGTTAATATGTTGTGTTTTTTATGAAGAGTAAGCCCTAAACTGCTTCGGGTGATATTAGTTGTGGCGATAGTTGTGGGGTAGGACGGCTACAAGCGCGGACTACTGTTGCCGAGAGGTATCTAGATTGAGTCTGAAGAATCATAATACTATTACCTGCTTTCCTCGTTGATACACTTATTGTCAACTAAGTATGCATGCCTTTAGAGACGTCGGCTCTATCCGCCTATCATTGCCTTGAAGTTCCTAAGCTAGAGGCCTCCCGGGCAAAAGCACCAACTACATGGTCCTTCTAGTGCCTACTAAGTAGAATCCTCAGCGCTTTGACCACGGATCTCCGAATCCTTCAAGCCTCTCCCTTTGTAATATCAAAAGGTAATCTCATTTGCCTCCTGATATCTACCGAACAAGCTCAGATCATTGCCTGAAAAGGAAGGCGTTACAGATTTGCCATTAGCAGATCAACAGATCCCGCTAATGATCCTTCATACTCGACAAAAGTACTGTACAGTAGTTATGCTTAGCTGCTTAGTAGTGCTTACGCATAGTAGTGGCTGTATCCGTGTAATACAAGCAAGTAACCAATCATTCAGTTGATCGATCAATCCTTTGTATAGCTAACTAATGTGCGTTTCATATCTTCTCTCGCTTGAGAAGACAACTTCCTGTTCGAGCAAACATCCCGAGCAAGTCGTCGTCTCATAGTTGCCATCACCCAGCCGTGGACCAGATCCTGAAGATGATTTCGCGATCTAGAACAGCTAGCAAGGTAGTATCAACACTTAGCGAACACGAGGATGGAATCGTCTATCCTTCTACGGGTTACATCGGGATGAATCACGCCATTGCAGAGCCGTCTCTGAGTTTCTGGCCCCTTAGCCATGGTGGAAGTAGGAAAGAGACTTGAGAGTCTGTATACATCGGACAATGATGCTGTATACTTGCCGTGGCCATCACGAGAGGGCCAACCCCAGGCGCATATAAGAAGCTCGGAAGCTGCAAGTTCTCTGGCATCAAAGTAACAAATCAACTCATCTTTCTCTAACCGGAGACACTTTCTTCAAGCGTTCTTTCCCCCTTCAAAAGTTCAACATGGCCATCACCGAGCCCATCCTCGTTGCGGAGTCTCTCCCAACCATCGAGCTCGACCTTCTCCGAGCAGACAATGAAACGGAGAACAAGAGACTCCTCAGCGTCTGCCAGAACTATGGTTTCTTCTACCTCAACATGACCAGCGATCCCGAGCTCTGCCAGCTCTGGGAAGACATGCTGTCTATCATGAAGGAGTACTTCGAGCAGCCCCTTGATATCAAGATGCAGGATGCCCGCAACGATGACAACTTCGGGTAAGTCACATCACCCAACCCATCCTGCATTATCACCACCACTGACCATCCCAGCTACGAGCCCATGGGCACCGAAGAAGGCCCCAAGCCCAAGACCCGAGACGGCTACGAATCCCTCAAGGTATGATACTCCCCCTTTCTACATCCACCCCATCTATACTAACATCCACAGTTCTCCCGCCGCGAATACCTCAAGGACTCAACCGACCTCACCACCAGCATCCGCACCAAATCCACCCCCTTCTTCAACTTCATCAACCAAGCCCATACCATCACCCTCCTCATCCTCTCGCGCCTCTCCACTCAACTAGGTCTCACCGGCTCCTCCCGCTTCGAAACCTACCACGCCGACCCCGGCCCGTCCACCTCAACCCTCGGTATCCTGCGCTACCCCAAGCACGAAGCCGGAATCAGCGAGCCCACCAGCGTCGGCCACAACCAGCACACCGACGTCGGCACGCTCACCTTCTTGCTTGCAGCGCAATGGGGTCTGCAGTACTGCTCCCCCCAAACGAAGCGCTGGGAATTCATCGAGCCTCGTGCTGGCCACGCCATCATCAACGTCGGCGATAGTCTTCGCTTCCCGTCGGGTGGGGAGCTGGCCAGTGTGGTGCATCGTGTTGTGCCGTTGAAGGAAACGCAGGAGGAGGACCGTTACAGTATTGCGTACTTTTTGAGGCCGAATGATGATGTCACCTTTAGGGATGCGACGGGCAAGATGTGGTCGGCGAAGGAGTGGCATGATTTCAAGTTTGATGTGTTTAAGAGCCCGAGTACGTTGGATGCTAAGGGGAGGTTTTTGACGGGGATGATGCTCGAGGAGGAGAGGGGGAGGTGGGTTGGTGTTGCTGGGGAGGGAGGTGTGGCGGTTGCTGTGTGATTGGAGTTCATTCTTTTGTTTTGGGATTAGTTATTCAGTTAGATAAAATGGTGGATGGGTATGTTAAAATGTATGTTGTGAGGCTGCTATAGTATTGACTACATGCAGACTCTGGATTACAATATCTCGCTGTATAATTACATAAACCCCGCAGAGTAGCCAATTTAGCACTGAGATGTTGCACTACTTAGACTTCAATGTTCATTACGTCTTCTAAATGCTAAATCAATCTCATAGTCAAGATATAAGGGTTCTATCTAGGCGTTATCGTTTCGTATCATGGTGTTAGTCCAGGCCTAAAAATTACTATATACTATTCTTACAACATTTTGGCAGTTTTGCGACTATGCAGCCAGAGGTTCTATAGTGATATCCTTGGATATTACCCCCTTGTAGAAATCACCTACTTGCGATAGTGCTATGGTCAACGCACCATTTGTGCTGGAAGTGAAAAAGGAGCAAGATCCTTTGAGGTCCACGATTCAACTCAAATTAGATCAGAAACATGGCATATGAAAGATGGAAAGCAATTAAGGCCACGAAGATAGAGGTGTACAAATGGGAGAGGAACAAGATATGAATGGGTTTTTGCCGCAGGTGACGTTAGGGAAAACCGAACTGAACTGACAGTGGCGTACTTTCATTCTAGGCAATGAATTTAGAGGAAACAACGATGGCCGGTGTTTAAAAACCCACTGCGCTGATTAAAGCGATATATCGCGTCTACTTAGAGCAGACGGAGGGGCATATCGTAACCGATGACCAAGTCCAAGATTAGACAGGCAACGGGAGCCGGAGAATTCTAGAGAGGTATAATGCAGACCGTAGGCGTCAAAGCTGCCAGTAATGTGCCAGCCACCACCCCATGCACTATGGTCAAGCGCAGCGCCTGAACTTTCACATTGATAGATTGTTTCCAGGAAAAGGATCCAGGAAATAATACAGGGCCTTGGTATTATCGTTGATATGCGATTATGCACTTATCCCTGTCCTTCGGGCCAAGTTGGGCATTGATGCATCTAATATGGATTCCCCCACTTAAGACGCGACGCATGGCATTTACGGAATACTCATATCATTATTTACCCTCTCCCAACTGTGATCGGTTTTACCTAGCTAGAGCAAAATAAGTTATTGTCTGAACCACAGTCAGAGTTCATTAATCAAACATTCCCCCCTTTCCCTCTCCATTGAAAGGTTCCCCCGATATCCAAAGGTTTACCTGTCATGTATTGGTCACCAAAACAGAATAGGACTGTCAGCCTTGTGAACGAAGGGGAAGACGAGAAAGATGAAGAGATATGCCCACTTTGCAATTGCCTGAATAACGTGTCAGTTTCGCATGAGACACCGTCAGGAAGAGATGCTGGGATTAATTTCGAGAATTGCAACATGAACAAGTCGAGGGTTCAGGCTGCCTATTTCCACAAAGCTTGCCATAAGTGTCCCGATATATCTCAGGATTCACTCTGCGTGGTATGCAAACACACGAGGCTCAGGCACCTAATACATTGTTTACTTTTAGCCGACTCTCTCACTCACAAAGAAGTGCTGAATCGCTCTAATCCATACCCATGCAGTCTGGATAATATTACCCTGAACTTAGGATGCGCCTTAGCCTTAGAAGAACGCTCCGGTTACTGCGATACCTGCCGGATTTTTTCAGGGGCGGCCAAAGAGGTGATGGGACAAACAAACTTATCACCCGATTTAGAGTGCTACATATCAGTAAATAAATCTGCAGTCACGTTTGGAGGCGTCAAGTGCAGTTTCGCTATCTATTTGTATCTGAAACCCTCGCAACAAAATTTGAAGTTAAATGCGCCATCACAGCGGTTGCGGTGTGCGTATACTCTTGGATATCACAGGGCTTTCACTAGTCACAGGCCAGTGAGTGATGACTAACCAAATGCAGGGGACAAGTTCTTTATCGGGACAATAGAGCCTACCCATGGCCATCGCCTGGTTTCTACACCTATACCCCAACAAGCGGTCGACTGGCAGAAGGTCTCCAAGTGGGTGAGAGACTGCCACTACTCTGATGAGCACAAGAGTTCTTGCCAGATGAAGCCTGATGTCTCACAAATAAGTGGGCTTCGGGTAATTGACACCAGACAAAGGTGCATTACAATTGCCCCTGCGGCGTGTCAATATGCAGCTTTGAGCTATGTGTGGGGGGCCGTGAACAGCCTCTTGCAGGCAACGACGGCAAACATAGATCACCTGTCTGTGGAAGGCTCTCTGAACAGCGATCGTCTACCTCGAACAATTGATGATGCCATTGTTGCTTGCAGGAAATTGGGGATAGATTATCTTTGGGTTGATTGTCTTTGCATATTGCAGGATGAACACCCTATCCAGAAAGCCTACTGGCTCGATTCTATGGGAGCAATCTACGCACAGTCATGTGTAACAATCGTTGCTCTAGCCGGAGAAAATGCCGACCACGGCCTTCCTGGAGTAAACAAAGTCAGTCGACTGACATGCTGGTCTGGAAAAGTACAGGGGGTATACCTGATTGCCACACCCCCAAGCTACTCTTATTGTTTACGAAATTCGAAGTGGGCTACCAGGGGTTGGACGTTTCAAGAGGCAGCACTCTCAACACGACGGCTTTTGTTTTCCGACACCAGAGCTTTCTATGAATGTTGCCACACCGAGAAACTCCAAGCTGAGTCTCATGCAAGTAATTATGTTGAAAGAAACGCAGGGATTCCTCTATTGTCTTACGAAAGGATGGTAGAGGATTTCACAAAGAGGGATCTCACCTGTGAGAGTGATGTGCTTCGCGCATTCGCAGGCGTTCTACACACGGGTTGGGGACAAGAGTGTTATTATGGACTACCCCTGAGAATCTTCGGTAATGCAATTCTCTGGACGGCAGTGAACAAAATTCATCCCAGAAGGCATGCAGCACCTGGTGATGTGTTTCCCACCTGGTCGTGGTCTTCAATTAAAGGACCCATCGAGATGTGTAAAGAATTCCGGGTATCCCTAGCAATTTGGGCAATCCCCTCTAGGTCGAGTCATCAACTAGATCTGCAATTCATCACATATAGTGTATGGGACGCAGGTGAACTCGAGGAACCAAAGAAACTGGAGTCCGAGAACGAGGTTGACGAAGAGGAGAAAGTGTTATGCTCAATTGAAATAAGACGAAGACTTGCTGTGATGATGGCCTGGAAGTGTGGATGTTTCTCGGGGTCTTTGCCGAGTATACTCAACAATAGAGCCATATTGGAAGATTACGAAAGTATTCTTGGCAAATGGAGATCGCTTGCACAGCTTTATGAAGAGGCTCATGGATTGTTAGGGGGTAACATGCGTGAACAAGATATGAACGTGCGGTTTCCTTCATATATGCGTCAAGGATGTTCTTCTGGATCCATCTTGGTATATACGCAATCACTGAATGTCAACCACCTGAATATGGTTAAGAGATATTCGGGTATTGTCGGCTGGGAGGCTCAGGAGGTGTTCGTTATTGAAGTCGGCGATTTCGTGGCCGAAATAATCGTTGGCTCACTCAACATGGAACGAATCAACCTTGTTCAACAAACAAACCCCAGTTCTCACTTTACCTTTCTCGCTCTCTCTGTCAAACCCAATTGTTGTGCCATGCCTTTGTGTATCCATGCGATACCGCCAGAGCACGTTACGTGGGATGATTCTGCGTATTCAAGTACGATTCACAATATTTTCAAACCCCCCGTAGTTGAACTCATGCTCGTGGAGACGGAAAACGGCGTTAGTCGGCGTGTTGGGCTGGCATGGACCTATCTAAAGCGTTGGATAGATCAGAACCGTCAGTTCCGTACATTTCACCTTGTGTAGAATGAGAAGAATTGAATCCAGAAAGTCTGATATTTGGGTAATTGCTTTGAGGTCCGGCCTTGATGTACCTGGCCATGTAAGTGACTATGCAACCCTCTCCGTAGTATCTCAGATGCTTGACCCCCTCCTGTAGAATGGCCCAACCTACGGAATAACTAAGACTTGGTCATTCGGCTTTTTCGTCCGACCAGCGAGAAACCAAGTAACCAGGGTATATGCAAGAACAGCAATACCAACATCATGCTCAGATCGTTTCACGCCACCACACCTTACATTTCTGTGCACTTTCGTGTGAGTATCTAAACGAAGTTGCCAGAATTGGCCATTACTTCAGGTCCTCTAGGGATCATCAGTAGCATTCATGCCCGCCTCACCTTCCTTGTCTTTATCGCTTAGCTTTGCCCTACTACTGGGCTGACCCGACTAATTTACTTGCTCGTTGTCCGTAACAACTTAACTAAACATGGAAGGCGCCGTATCCCAATTCTGCAAAACACAGAACGGAAAACTACTAACTACCCATTCAGCCTTCGGAGTGGTTCGAGAAATAACTACATTTACACCGTTGAAAATTTGTATTTTTAGTATGTGGTTGGGGGCTTCAAGGCTGCATGGTGACCTCAGACCGAGCCATCCCACTCCCGCTTCGATTGGTTACTGACTGATCGATTAGTGTGGACCGTCTCAATAAGTGTCTTTTTGATGACTAGTTATCACGTTGTCGCCAAATGTCCTTCAATGTAATTCAGTAGCGAGCTGTTCGAGGTCAACCGCACATGCCACCACCATCATCAATTAATTACCCCTAAACAGCGCTCGAACAATATCGACCATCTATTCAGCACAGTCCACCTTTGCAGCCTCTACCTGCCAACTTCTCACTCAGCCTTCCCGTCGAATTCCTTCCTCAGCGCGCCTACAGCCTTCTTCTTCTGCATTAACGAGGAGATTTCTTTCCCCTGGCTCTTCCTCATCGCTTTCCATGCGCCTGTAATCCGGGCAGTGGAGGGCAGGTGAGAATTGTTCCCACCGCGTGGCGGGATTGATTTCGGATCCAGAATGCCCGCCCGGACCATTTCATGCACACTCGGATGGATGACAGCGTCTTCGGGAATATCGCGAGGCGCGCCCATGTTGGGTGGCCATTGCCGGGGAACCCATTTACCGTGTTCGAGTTCGAGGCGTGTAAAGAGGGGGAGGATTTCTATGCAGGTTAGTAAGGTTTGCGTCATCACAGCGAGATGTATACACACCGAGTATCCACCAAAAGATTACCATAAGGAAAGTTGCTCCCCGATTGAACATTAACATATCATGAGGCTGGTTCGTGCGTTTCCGCACATCATACGCTGTGGTTCCTGGTTCCTCCTTCCCAGGAAACGCATTCTCCCTTTCCACGACGTCTGCAACATTGAGCGTGTGGAAGGATAACTTGCTCTCTGACTTTTCCAGATGAAGAACCTCCTGCAGCATCCAGTTCAAAGGGGTATCAGACAAAAGGTGGAACTGTCCGGGAGCCAGACTCCAGCCCCCTCCCACATCACCATGGTTCCCTGCAAACCAGACTTCCTTCAGATCCACTGGCTTGGTCTTGTCAAGCAGCACCAGAGCAGGCTTGAACTTGAGTCTGCGTTCATGAATCGATACAGCATGTCGGATGTGTCGAGCCGCCGGACTGACCAGGTATTGGTGCGACTTCCGATGGAAAGGGATCTCGAATTGGCCGACACTGTTCACGCAGTCAAATAATCCGAGAAAATGGATCTGCACTTGCGGGCGGCAGAAGGTGGTATTAAACTTCTTCATGTATGAGATTAATGCCTCATCCTTCGCAGTGCGATCGGTCTTTCCTCGCGCTTGTTGGAAATTGCTGAATGTTTCCCAGGCAAAGTGGATCATCTCTTCATTCCCCTGTGAAAGAAGGCCAAGTTCGTGGATCATCTCCGCTAGGAATCGCGCGGTGTATGCTCCCCGCGAGAATCCAAAGATGTAGATATGATCACCTGGGGAGTAATATCGCATGATGAAGCGATATGCTGCGAGAACATGGCTTTCAAAAGTTGTTCCTACTCCTTGATCGATGGTGGTTATGATATGCGACTGCAGTTTTCGCGGATACCGAAGCAATCCGGAGCTGGACGATTGACCTTCGACGTAGGTTCCAATGCCGGCTGGCCAATGTGTAAGCTCAGTGAATCATACACTTTGTGGCTAACCCCAGTTCCCATATAACTTACGCTGGTAATAATGAAATTGGCCGGGCGTGTTCTTTTCGAGCATCTGGTATATTTTGACGATATTTGAGTCGCGCTCAAACCCCATAAATTGATTGCCAGTGCCATCGAGGCAGAGTACCAGCTTTCGGGGACCAGAATAGGGTGCTTCCAAGCTGGAAGTCTGATCCACAGTTGAGTGTGGCATGGCTTGGAGAAATCCTGGCCAAGTGGAACAACAAAATAAAAGGTACGAAATTGGAAAATCAACAGTCGAAAAGATGGGTGAGTTTTAGAAAGAATGAACGCAGAGATGGCACATTGCGGGATATGCCTAATACCCAGCTTTATCAGAGTAAACGCAACCGTCCAGACAGCAGCACCTTCGGGGACCACAATCATAATGCCCAGCGCCGATCATGACGGGCCGCGGGGAGGTTCCAACACGAACCGCTTGTGGGGGTGTTCGTGAGGTAAAAACTGCCGAGATGCAATCCAGCATCTATCATTGGATCAGCTTTCATGATGATCGTGCCGCGCCATGAGGTCTGCGTCCCGTCGGGGTCCGACCCCTTCTTCATACTGATGATTGGTTTGTCAATATGCTGATCTTGCCAGCTGAAAACCACACTGTTTGATAAACCCCTCTCATTGTCACTCTCCTGCATAGTGGCTGGCTGAATTTTCTCCTCAAGCACGACCACCTGAGGGGGTATCTACCCTTTGCTCTGCATATGTGCCGTCTCTGCCACGAATCAGACGACAGGTGGCTGGCGAAGTCTGCAGATTGTCGCAATGACAGCTCTGGGCGCGGGGCTAGACCGAAACTCATGCTTTCAGCTGGGCTGTGTCCGCAGGATCGATAGGTGTTTGTCTTCTCGGCATTCCCCGTATGGTCTTCAGGATCTCTGCTACCCCAAGCGCCGGGGACGAGGGGTTCTCTTTCAGCTGGCATTGGTGGCCCAGTTCTCACAGCACGCTGATTCCTAGAAGACATTCCTCGTGTATAAGTATTCGGGCACAGATCTCATAATGTCTTGCAGAGTTATCGCGATAGCTTGCTCTCTTCAATACAAGTAACGATTGTGCCTCGCCTAATCTCGCCTTCCTGAATTATGAGCTCCATTTTTATTGCTCTTCTCCTCTGCCTCCTTTCTTTTCTCTACCTGCGCATTTTTGCAGATGACCCAACACGCCCTTTTCAGATAGTTGCCAAGGTTTTCTCTTCCCATAAACACCAGACATGGAACTTGAGGCCTCGTTTCCTTCCAAAGGCCACAAAAGCAGCTCTGTCCAGCATTGCCGGGACGGGAGAGGGGCTCTGGCAACGGCTATATGCGAGGATCTTCCATGCACAAGAGCTAGCAGAAGTGGAAGATGACGTGAAATATCAAGCTGGAGAGTCATATGGAGATCCCGACGTCCTTGCCACGGGCCTTGTCAAAGATCTCTCGGCTCTAGGACTCAAGGGCAAGAGAAATGATCTTCGTACTCTGATCCAATTGGTGAAGTCTAAGGGAAAGCCGATCGATGATCGTCAAATGCTTGTGAGTCGGCTTCCATCTGTGTCCACATTAAGAATGCCATTGCTGATGAGGATTGGCCGCTGTAGATGGAAAAAGTCATCGCCATCGTTGCAATGTTGCCGCGAACCTCCAAGTCCCGACAGAGGTTGACCGGCATTCTGGTCGACCAGCTCTGGCAGAGCTTGGAGCACCCTCCGCTGTCGTACTTTGGAAATAAGTATCAATATCGCACTCCCGATGGAAGCTACAACGTGAGACTAATCTCCCAACCTGTCGCCCGAAATACGAAGACATCACTGACCTATTTGACTCCAATACTATAGAACCCCTTAGAGCCTGACCTTGGCAAAGCAGGCAGTCCGTATGCGAGATCGGTGCCCCGCCTCAAGGCTTTGCACGGAGTGCAACCTGACCCTGGCCTTCTTTTTGATCGTGAGTCTCGAGTCTCCGAGTCTAGACAGTATAATTCTAACGCTTAGTTTCAGTCCTCATGGCCCGTGATGAAGGGACTTTCAGGGAAAACCCTGCAGGCATCTCCTCGGTTCTGTTCTATCATGCGAGCATCATCATCCATGGTGAGTCCACTATACAAGGCTGATACTTTGCCAACCCCTTGCGCTAAAAACATGTAGATGTCTTTTGCACCAACCGACGCGACCCCAATATTTCGGATACCTCATCATATCTGGATCTCGCACCTCTATATGGTTCCAGCTATGAAGACCAGTTGAGGGTGCGCACTATGGAACGCGGCATGCTCAAGCCTGACACCTTCCACGAGAAGAGGCTGTTGGGCCAGCCTCCTGGTGTCAACGTGATCCTTGTCATGTACAATCGTTTCCACAACTATGTGGCCGATGTTCTGCTGAAGATTAACGAGAATGGGCGCTTCACTCTACCGCCAACAACATCCGAGGACGCAAAACGGAAGGCACTGGCCAAGCAAGACGAAGATCTATTCCAGGTGACTCGTCTGTAAGTTATCACCCCATGTTTTGTTAATATAGATATGTGACTAGGGGGATCTCAACTAACTCCGGATAGCATCGTGAACGGGCTTTACGTGAACATCTCACTACACGACTACCTCCGTGGACTAACCAACACTCACCATTCGGCGAGTGACTGGACTCTAGACCCTCGTGTGGCCGTGAGCCGAGCATTTGACGCTGATGGGGTTCCTCGAGGTGTGGGAAACCAGGTCTCGGCAGAGTTCAACCTTCTATATCGCTTCCATTCGGTTATCTCCCGGCGAGACGAACAGTGGACGAACGAGTTCTTGAAAAGCCTGTTCCCCGACCTCAAAAAACCGCTGGAGCAACTTACACCACAGGAGTTCATGCAAGGTTTGATAACTTACGAACGAAGCATCGAGAAAGACCCCAGTAAGCGGGAATTCGGTGGTCTGAAACGAAACCAAAATGGTAGGTTCAATGATGTTGAACTGGTGCAGATCCTGAAGGACAGCATGGAAGATCCAGCTGGTCTGTTTGGGGCTAGGATGGTTCCCAAAGCACTCCGCATGGTCGAAATTGCTGGCATTCTCACTGCACGCAAATGGAATCTCGCGTCCTTGAATGAGATGCGTGATTTCTTCAAGCTGAAGCGGCATTCGTCATTTGAGGACATCAACCCTGATCCTAAAATTGCCGATCTGTTGCGGAAACTGTACGATCACCCGGATATGGTCGAGATGTATCCTGGGATCTTCTTGGAGGACGCCAAACCAGCCATGGATCCTGGTTGTGGTGGTTGCCCTCCTTACACTGTTGGGCGAGCAGTCTTCAGCGACGCGGTTACTCTCGTTCGATCGGATCGGTTCTTGACTTTGGTCAGTCAAATCTCTTCTGCTCTGCCCCTTCAAAGTGGAGGAGCTAACAGCAAGTCAGGATTACACTGCGTCTAATCTCACTAACTGGGGTATTCGTGAGGTTCAACAAGACTACGATATGTGAGTATTTACGAAGCAACTCGATTCATAGCTCTTGACTTAGTATCTAACAAACTCTAGATTGGGGGGCTCGATGTTCCATAAATTGATCCAGCGCGCACTGCCCGGATGGTTCCCATACAACTCGCTCCACGCAACCCAGCCAATGTTCACCCGTAAAATGAACGAACAAATTGCGAAAGAGATTGGAACAATCGATAGGTACAGCCAAGAGGATCCAAAACCGCCACCCCATACGGTCATGCTCGCGAAGTATGAGACCATCATTGAGGTACTGAAGGACCAGGATACATTCCGCGTCCCGTGGGCCAGATATCTTAATGACATGCTACCGGGCAAGAGATTCAATGACTATATGCTAGGAGGCGATGGTCCGGGTAATACAGCCCAGAAGAAGCTCGTCAAGTCCGTTTTGTTCAGCCCGGATCAATTCAGCCAGTTGCTTTCGCATACGACTGTTACGCTAGGTAAAGAATTGCTAGAATTGAACACTCTACAGCTGTCTAAGGACCTGAACCAGGTTGATATTATTCGAGAGTAAGTTGATCCATTTTCTGCCACGCACAGTGACTATCACAACTGGAGGCTTACTTGCCCATTCTAGCGTCGCAATTCCCCTCAATGCAAGATTAATGGCAGACCTCTTCTGCCTGGACATGAAGACCCCAGAGAACGAGTCCGGCAGCATGAATGCAGCAACAGTTTACAAACATCTCATGAATGTCCGCACCTGGGGTTTCAACAACAACGACCCCGGATTGATGCTACAACGCAGAGAATGGGCCTCTGAAAGTGCCGAGGCCCTTGTCAAGTCTACTCTCAAGGTTGTCAACGAGCAAGCTCAGCCACAGAAAACTCACATCCTTGGAAGCTTGACTGGCCATAAGCAGTCCGTCAGTACCCTACGCTGGTATGGAAACAACGTAGCAAAGCAGATGATGGAGATGGACATGACTGCGGCTGAAACAGCGGAAGTGTGCTGGCTTACAGCAGTTGGGGGTGTTGGAGCGCCTGTTGGACTGGTTCGTATATTCCATTTCCTGACGACGTGACACACATTCTTCTAACATAATCCTAATCATCTAGATCGCCGACGTCCTACAATATTACCTCCGACCGGAGAACATCCACCACTGGAAAAAGATCCAGAGTCTCGTCTCCCAACCCGATAACAGTGGCTCTGTCGACAAGCTTCTCCGACAATACGTACTCGAAGCGCAACGTCTAACCAGCATGGAATGCACCGTTCGCGTCTGCAGAGCCCACCGTACCATCAACGATCAGGAATTCAAGCCAGGCGACGTCGTGATCACTCTCCTCGTAAGTAGCCCACCCCCATCCCACACCATACTCCTCTCACCCTGAAAATCCAACTAACCCCATCCAGGGCCCATCCTGCCGCGACCCAACCAGCATCCCCGACGCAGAAATATTCAAGCTCGACCGGCCCTCAAACGCATACATCCACTTCGGATACGGCGCGCACGAGTGCCTAGGCAAGGAAATCGCATTGACATTCGCAGTCTCCATGCTCCGCGTCCTAGCAGGGCTGAAGTATCTACGACCAGCACCAGGCGATATGGGCATGCTGAAGAGTATCATCGTCGATGGGAGACGGGTCTATCTCAATGATAGTTGGTCGTGGATGACTCAGGATCCGACAAGTAAGTCCTCTTATACAACCATTCACCACCCATCGTATTAACGATATCATTACCTATAGCATGGAAACTCCACTTCTCAGGCTACGGCCAAGGCGCCTACGAAGGCCCGCCCCCGCCCCCAGCAGCAGCGATACCAGCCTTCCCTACCGCAGACCAGAATCCTGATACTAGCGACGAGAGTGGAGTCGACGATACAATCTACTCAGCTGTACCTAGTACGCATCATCATCACCATGGGGGACCAGAATATACCAGACAGGAAAGCTACACCATGACTGATGGGGGTATGGGCATGACAACGCAGTATTCGTTCGGACAGAGCCATCATAATCAGTATCAGTATCATGAGGTGACTAGGACGTCTTCGTCGTCGTTGCCTTCTATGTTAGGGGATGATGAGAGTTATGGGAGGTTTTCGGGGACGTTGAATTGATTTGATGTATGGGAGAGAAGGGGGAGGGATATTATTGATATTAATGAATGAACTAGTTGTTAGATCCAAATGATGGATATGTTCTCAGCTGTCATAAGCATCACTATACTGTAGTGATAATGGTAATGACTCAGGTAAAATACACCAAACTACGAGCTGTAGCTGCATCAGATACACTTATCTGTAATGTAACATCCAACAGCAGAAATAGTCTCAGCAACATGAATATGAATATGAGATAGAAAGTATCGCATTCTTACTATACCTTGATGCAAATACCCTCTACGAAGCCCGGATGTACCAGCCATCCCGTCGGTTTGAACCATGGAACCGTAAACTCTAAATAAAAAAAGGGTCGAAAAAAAAAGAAAATGGAAAACGAAGGAAATAAGAAAATAAGGAAACAGGAAATAAGCAATAGGAACAAGAAGAGTAGGAAATAGGAAATAAGAAACTAGAAGCAAAGAAACTAGAAAGTAGGGAATGAAAGCAGAACGCAGAACGCAGAACGCAGAAAGCAGAACGCAGAACGCAGAACGCAGAAAGCAGAAAGCAGAAAGCAGAAAGCAGAAAGCAGAAAGCAGAAAGCAGAAAGCAGAAAGCAGAAAGCAGAAAGCAGAAAGCAGGAAATGGAAGCGTGGAAGCAGAGCAGAATAAGCAGAACGAGCAGAACGAGCAGAACGAGCAGGACAGGCAGAAAGCAAAAAGCAGAATGCAGGAGAATAGAAAATAGGAAAAGAAGGGGAAGAGAGGAGAGAAGGGGAAGTATGAAATAGGGAACAAGAAGCAAAGAAAAATAAGAAATAGAGAGTAAGGTATAAAAAGCGAACGGAAATGATGACAAGAAATTAGAAGCACGGAAACTAGAAAGCAGGGAATGGAAGCATGGAAGCAAAGCAGAAAAGCAGAAGAAGCAGAAAAGCAGAAGAAGCAGAAGAAGCAGAAGAAGCAGAAGAAGCAGAAGAAGCAGAAGAAGCAGAAGAAGCAGAAGAAGCAGAAGAAGCAGAAGAAGCAGAAGAAGCAGAAGAAGCAGAAGAAGCAGAAGAAGCAGAAGAAGCAGAAGAAGCAGAAGAAGCAGAAGAAGCAGAAGAAGCAGAAGAAGCAGAAGAAGCAGAAGAAGCAGAAGAAGCAGAAGAAGCAGAAGAAGCAGAAGAAGCAGAAGAAGCAGAAGAAGCAGAAGAAGCAGAAGAAGCAGAAGAAGCAGAAGAAGCAGAAGAAGCAGAAGAAGCAGAAGAAGCAGAAGAAGCAGAAGAAGCAGAAGAAGCAGAAGAAGCAGAAGAAGCAGAAGAAGCAGAAGAAGCAGAAGAAGCAGAAGAAGCAGAAGAAGCAGGAAGCAGGAGACTAGGGGAGTAAGAAATAGGAAATAAGAAGCGAAGAAAAAACAATAGGAAACAAAAAATAAGATATAAGAGCAGAAACAAAAGGAAGCAAGAAACTAGAAGCAAGGAAACTAGGAAGTAAAGAATAGAAGCAGAAAGCAGACAAGCAGACAAGCAACGACTGGGATGACAAATAAGAAACAAGAAAATGATAAGCATAAGAAAACTATCTAATAAGAATAGGAGACTATCTAATAAGAATAGGAGCTATCTGATAAGAGTATAGTAAGAAAGAAAGGATAAGCATAAGAAACTATCTAATAAGAATAGAGATAAGAATAAAAATCTATCTAACAAAGAAAGAGCTGAAATCAAGAGTAATGAATAAGCAGAACAACGCTGAACAGGCAAAGCAAAGAATCAACACAAAACAAGCAAAGAAACGTTGGGCAGGGCAGGTAGGGGAGGCCAGGTAGGGAAGGACAAGGCAGAGCAGAGTAGGGCAGGGTAGGGCAGGGCAAAGCAGGCAGGGGAGGGGACGGATGGGCAGGGCAGGGAAGGACAGGATGAGAAGGGGAAGAGACGGTAGGAGAGGTAGGGAAGGGGATGGTATGGGAAAGGCAGGGCAGGGCAGGAGATGGGCAGGAGATGGGCACGGAGGGGAAGGGGACGGGCAGAGAGAGGAAGGGTAGGCAGGGAAAAGGCAGGGCAGAGGGTGCAAGGGGAAGGGTAGAGCAGGCAGGGAAACGGGAGTAAACGGTAGGGGAAGGGATGGACAGGGAAGAGCAGGGCAGAAGAAGGTCGACGGAAAAGGTAGGCAGGGGAAAGGCAGGATAGAAGAAGGGCAGGGCAGGAGAAGGGCAAGGGGAAGGGCAGGATAGAAGAAGGGCAAGGGGAAGGGCAGGGAAAGGGTATGAAATGGGCAAGGTAGAGCAGGGGAAGGGGAAGTGTAGGGAATGAGCAGGCAGGGGAAAGACGGGGGAGAGCAGGGTAGAGGAAGGATAGGGGAGGACGGCAGTAAAGGGCAGAAGAAGGCAAGGGAAAGGCGAGGCAGAGAAGGACAGGGCAGAGCAGGATAGGCAGGTAGGGGAGGAAAGAAACGGGCAGGGCAGGCAGAAGAGGGATAAAAAGGAGAGGAGGTGATAGGCAAAGGGCAGGGAAAGGATAGGCAAAGGGCAGGGAAAGGATAGGCAAAGGGCAGGGAAAGGATAGGAAAAGGGCAGGGGAAGGCAGGGGAAGGGAAGGGTAGGGGAGATGAGGGCAAATAGGAGAGAAAAGGGAAGGGAAGAGAGGAGCTGAGAGATAGACGGATGAGGAGAGGAGATGGTAGGAGAGAGGGCAGAGAGAACAACGGGGTAGGTAAGGTAGGTCAGGGACAGGCGGGACAGAGTAGAGTAGGGAAAGGTGGGGAGATGAAGGTAGGCAGGAGAGCGAGGAGAAGAGAAGGGAAGAGATGAGGTAGGATGGGAGGTCAGAGAAGGGAAAAGAAGGGCAGATGACGAGAGATGAGATAGTAGGGAAGAGGGCAGGCAGACGAGCAACGCAGAACAAACAGGAAAGCAGAGCAAGTAAAGCAGAACGAGCAGGGCAGGCAGACGAATTAAGAAAAGGAGTAAGCCAAACGGACGCAAAGAACGCTATCAAAAGCAAGTAGAAAACAAGCAGAAGAAGCAACGAGAATAGAACTATCTAAGATAAGAATAGAAGGTAAAGATGTGAGGAAGAGTAGGAAGAGTAGGAGGAGAAGGAGAGGAGAGAAGAGGAAGTAGGAGCAAAGAGTAGAGAATAGGTGAGGAAGGGGGAGTTGTAGGAGGGATGGTTTTCCGAGAGACAGGCAGGGCTGGCAGTCCCTTTTTATAATCGTCCAAATGGCACCGAGACGAGGCAGAGAAAGCTTGCAAAAAGTCAGCGCTCGATATAATTAGAACGATTGAGTCAGGATGCGCAAAATGACTTCAGTGCAGGTCATCAGTCCAGTTTGGGCCGAACTGGAACGGTGGACGGCCTCAGGAGTCCCAAGAATAGATACGCGTTCCATGAGACGGACCACAGTATAGTTCCAAACGAAAATTCATCCATCAGGGAGCCGTGGATAAGTAGGAAGGCGAAGTTCCAGGGTGTCGCCTTTTTTACACTAGGGCTACGTCGATCAAATTCGGCATCAAGTCAGCTCGACGAAGTATATCCCTATCCTAGATGTAGAGTAAGTCTTAGGCACATAATATGGAAAAGGTAGAGCCAGAGGCAGCGGAATGTCTATTGCACATGCACTAAAATAAGATGTTTAAAAGTGTTTTTCGTAATTTTGTGGGCCACTAGAGGCGTAAAGCTATAACTCGATAAAATATGGTATAAACCTCGTCAGAAATACGTACTGAGGGAAAGATGCATGCCATCAGTGCCTATGACCGAACCACCACTGTAACTGCAAATGCTAGCAAGTCGGACGCGCATTTCCTCATGCCGGTCCATTCGGATTCGTTATCAACCATCGTCACAAAGACTTCCCATTATTCCGTAGCAAAAAAACAGATCCGCAATGAATACCTCGTAAATGGAGTTGCACACACAGGCTATATACCTTAGACGGTGTACTTGGCCTTGGCTCTCGTGCTGCCGCTGTGTGCGCTGTCCGTGTGACCCGAGAACTCAACGGCATCAGCCTCCTTGAGACGAAGGACTTCCTTGAACCGCCGACCAATGTTCTCAAGGATCTCCTTGCCCTGTGCGGGTGTACGACCGTTCTTGTCTCCGGGAATACTCTTGCCAACAGTCCGGGTCCACAGACCAACACGGTAGAAGCCCTTGCGTACGTTCACAACAACACCCATAACCTCGTTGTCACCATCGTTCTCGAGAGTCTCGCCGATGGCGGCCAGTTGTGCGTGGAGCCACAGGTCGTCGATGGGCACGGAGCGCTTGTCCTTGAAAGAGTATGACCACTTGCCTCCGTGCTTGTTCTGGGGGTCTTCCCACTCGGGACGAACGCCCTTCTTGAAGAGATGGTAGTCGGCTTTGAGGCCCAACTCGGATGTCGGCGAAATGTTGTTCTATTGAAGCATTGGTTAGCCGGGGCAAGACTCCTCGGAGGACGCAAAAAGAAGAACACATACGTAGATACCCCAGAATTCCTCAACAGAGTTAAAAGTCACAACCTCCTTCAACAGATCGTTCCAGTTATCGCCCTATTGCGCAGGAGAGGTTAGTTGTCTGACCAACTGCTGTGTCTGATTCAGCAAGAATCCGTACCTTGCCGCTAGGGGGCTTGGTGAACCACAGAGTCCACTCGTGCATCAAAGGATGCTTCACAGTAAAGTTTTCGGGATCGTGGAATACTGTGACAGAGTCTCCATTTGTCTTCTCGGTCTGTTCCTTCTGTTCGACGGCGGCAGCAACGGGGGCGGCGTTCTCGTCAGCCACGGGCGCGTGACCGTTCTCAGCAACAGCGGCCATTATGAGAGTTGATTGAGGAGGTGAGGGGAAAGTGAGGGTGGTTGAAGAGGATGCAACGGCGGGATTGTGGTGATGAGAGGGAAAGCGGTCGTGTCGGAGGGGAAGAGACAAAATAGCGCGGATGGCAAATTTTGTGTCGGAGAGTGAATCGCGGAAGGCGCAGCTGGGGAGGGTTGACGGGCTCAGAGTAGGAGCGGGAAGTGGCGCGCTCGGTTCACGGAAAGTTGAGTCGTCTGCTCCAGGCAGAATCACGGCGAAAGAAGTCGTGATAGAAGGGGATTTCTTGAGGCGACGACAGAAAATCACAACCTGAAGTTTTGATGGTTTGGAGAAAGCCGCATTTGGGGACACGATTGGAACTTTACCCTTTTGGGCCACGCCGCTTTGCAGTGCTTTCATAGGCTAACCGCTGCCCAACCCCAGCCCTAATCGCCGGGAATGCCATCTTGTCGACATCATGGTATTATTTTTAGATTATTTTTCTATATATATGATGTGGATTAATTTCAAAGTCTACTCATTGATGCTGTCTTGTTACAAGGTCGAGATTTATTCAAGTAAAATCTAAGAGCTCATAGTAGTGCTACAGCCGGTAACTTACAGTACTACTTTGCAAGTAATTTGAAATATATAAAACCGTCCGCGGTCTAGTAGCCAGGTCGCCAAACAACAATCGAAACCACACAACTATCAGCGAGTACTAGTTCCGTAAAAATTTATCTTCTCATAAGGCACTAAACAACATAATGTTACTTATCAATATCAAAATTATCTATGTAACACGCGCAGAAAAACCTGTAGGTATAATAATCGAATGAAAAACAATTGGATTAGACAACATCTAGTAATCTATGGACAGCATAGGGATATCTGCAAAGTGTCTACAACATATGGGGTATTGATAATCAAAGTCACTTCTCACCGCTGTTAATCAGGCTCAACAAGCAGTTCCAGCCTAGTGATGTCAGTATCATTCGATATTAATAGAAGCCTGGGATATACTTACCCAACGCGACTAGGTTGACAAAAAGCACACGGTACTCAAGTGGCACGATGGCAAAGTTGACTCCTTGGACGAGAGGCCAAATTGCAAGGTTCGCTTTGAAGCTGGGAACGAAGCCATTACGCCACTTCTCGATGGGATCGGTGCCTTCCATGATGGCCATGGAAGACAGGAAACAAGTCAGGTGTGCGGGAGTAAAGACACATTGATCCGCGACGACACGGGCAAGGAGGGTAGTTTTGGCGCTGTTCAGGACGACGTGACGCTGGAGGACACCGTACCAGGTGGTGGCAGCGGGTCCGAAGATCGCTGTTACATGTTAGCTTGCCCACTTGCATTGTATGGAGGAAGGCTCCCCAGGACTTGTAAGGGCAGAAAGGGGGCCTCAGAATGATAAGGGATTATATAGTAGCTTACCTCCACCATAAAGGGCCATGCGCCCCGTCCTTGCCATGTCGTGCTTATCAAATCCCTTACGATCGACTAATTGTTGGGCTAGAACATCTCCACTACCAAACAACAGCTAGTCCGCATGGGAAATAAAGGTCAGCTAAAACTGATCTTACGTCGGAGTTGAGATCGGATATTAGGAAGTACGATGGTAAATGAATGGATGGGTTGTAAGAGGAATGAAGTTCTTACAGCACTCGTCACACTAGCAGTGAGGATAGGCTGCTTGGCCAACCTCGCCTGATACCTGTGCCTGATCAGCAATGGAAATATTGATCATCAGGATGGACAAAACATACCAACGCAACATTATCAAAGAATAGGATATGACTATATATTAAGTTAAACTAATTAATGCGATTCACTGCGAACGGAGATAATGATCCCAGCGCCCCAGATTTGTAAATAGTTAGAGAAGAGCAGAAGGGGACCCAAAGGGGAGCTATGATAACTTCAAATAATTGGATCAGAACCCCAGACCGCCGATAAGAGCATCAGCGGGAAGTTGAAATGGAAAGAATAAAGCAAAATCATTGGAAGATAACGGCTCCCAATGGGGTATAATCCACTTGTCACATGATGATACGGGATGGGGGGTCCCAATCGGGTTACCTAATCGGGAGGGCACCTTAGGGCACAGGGCTGCGGGCTCGCTTAGCGCACCCGCCAGCGAAATTTCCCAGGTGCCAAAACAAGTTGTGGATAGCGAGAAGAAAGTCAACCTCGACGTCGACAACCCCAACGACACCTCCCGTCCGTTACCTCTCCCCCCCGACTTTCTCAATCGCCATATATATCCAACATGGCTGACGCTCCCCGTGGACGTGGAGGATTCGGCTCTCGCGGTGACCGTGGTGGTGACCGTGGCCGTGGCCGTGGTCGCCGTGGTCGTCGCGGTGGTGCCAAGGAGCAGGAGAAGGAATGGCAGCCCGTCACCAAGCTCGGCCGTCTCGTCAAGGCTGGCAAGATCACCAGCATGGAGCAGATCTACCTGCACTCCCTGCCCGTGAAGGAGTACCAGATTGTGGACTTCTTCCTCCCCAAGCTGAAGGATGAGGTCATGAAGGTACGAACCGATCGCCCGATTACCGAATTGTCGACAAGGAAGATCTACGATTGTGCGCGGGAAATAGGATTGAATGCGCCGGTGGAATTTTTACGTGGATCGGAATTGCAGACATGATGGGGTCAAAAAGGATATATCGAAATAGTGGGAGGTGCTGACGGTTGGAAAATTTAGATCAAACCCGTCCAGAAGCAGACCCGTGCCGGTCAGCGTACCCGCTTCAAGGCCGTCGTTGTCATCGGTGACTCCGAGGGTCACATCGGTCTCGGTATCAAGACCTCCAAGGAAGTCGCTACCGCTATCCGTGCCGCCATCACCATCGCCAAGCTCAGCGTTCTCCCCGTCCGTAGAGGTTACTGGGGTACCAACCTTGGTGAGCCTCACTCTCTGCCCGTCAAGCAGAGCGCCAAGTGTGGTTCCGTCTCCGTCAGAGTATGTCGCGACTCATTCCCGATATTCGATCTCGCTTCTCCGTCCGGCCATCATGCTAACCCGGTTATAGCTTATCCCCGCTCCCCGTGGTACCGGTCTCGTTGCCTCCCCCGCTGTCAAGCGTCTGCTCCAGCTTGCCGGTGTCCAGGATGCCTACACCTGCTCTTCCGGTTCCACCAAGACCCTCGAGAACACCCTCAAGGCTACTTTCCTTGCCGTCGTCAACACCTACGGCTTCCTCACCCCCAACCTCTGGAAGGAGACTAAGCTCATCCGCAGCCCTCTGGAGGAGTTCGGTGATGTCCTGCGTCAGGGCAAGAAGTACTAGGATAGTGCTATGATGGGAATAACCTTGCATGATTGTTTTTGAATCGAACTATTTTCCTACGGGTTTTCAAAAGTCTCTTCGGTTGTAGGATCGGCAGTACCGGCAAATCCTGACTTTTCGCGCTATGCTACGCTATATACGGTATTCATGGATGTAATGAACACGGAAAAGTGAACAAGGAAAAACAACGTGATGTCGATTCAAGCTCTCTTTCGGCAAGCCGACGGTACTTGAAGGGGTGGCTGACGGGTTCCTGCATTGCAATGCCTGCACACGGTCCGGATATAGTAGGAAGGGCTAGGCCTTCAATCAGGGATCCACGCGACGTAGTGTTCGATTTGATGAACAGTGGCTGCTCTCTAGATCTTCCCATATTTCCAAATTCCTTGTAATGACGTAGTTGCCAATCTCAACTTTTGCTGGTCTATCAGGCAATGTAGTGGAGAAGTTGTGCCTGGATGTGTTCCAGATTCCGCATATGGCTCCGCCTAAACCCACTGCTTCTTATCTGCCACGCCCCCAGCCATCAACAATGTCGACGGCATCCAGCCGACATTCCCCGTACCTTGTCGTTTTATGCACCCGAGTCGGTCGCAACTTGTGCAATCACAATAAGTTGATTTTCATTCGCTTGATGCTGTCGAATAAAACAAGAGCAGATTGCAGAACCCGTGGCGCATGATCCACCTCCCGTGCGTCCCGCAACCATGCCTTCAGCTGCCGATCGAAGATAGTCCGAGATCCATCGAGTTACTGGATCGATGGACAAGTCACGATCCTTTTGCCCTTGTTGGTACCACCATCAATCAACCACCTTCAGGCTGGTATCCCTTTCTCCTCCACTTCCCCTTCATATCTCTCTAAGCGCCGGGGAGTATTGCGGACCACTCATTTAAATAAACTCTTAGCCAGTGCGACTCATGTTAGCACATGTCAGCTGCGCCGCGCCGCTGACAGCCTGGCACTTATCAAAGGGGGAAACAATAATCCGACAGGATTGAGGGAATCAGCGGTCGCTGAGCCGATGCTTATTTATTATTTCAAGGATTCCTTCGTTCCTGCAAAGTAAAGTTCTCCTGACGCGAGTACCCGCCCGAGCTTGGGCTTCCCAGTGCGATGATCGCGTACACACTCGTCTTAGGCCTCATAGGCCTGCTGGTTTTTGATTACATCTGGAACCTCGCCAAGAATATTCGCAAAGCACAGCGCTCCAAGCTTCCTTATGTTGTGCCCCCGTATAATGTCAGCATCATATTTATGATCTTGTTCGGCTGGCTTCTCCCGTTGCTTGCAGAATATTGTCTTCCCCAATGGGTTGGGGATATCCTGTACGATAATGTTGGCACCTATCGCTGGATGGTTAGGGATCGCCAAGTGAAAAGGTACGGGAAGCTTTACATGCTAGTCAATTCTGGCGGCGTTTTCTTGAGTGTCGCGGATGCTTCTGTGGTCTCTCAGATCGTCAACGCACGACAGGACTTTCCGAAGCCAGTCAGGCTATATAGTGGGTCTCCCTGACAATTGTCATTGTGCAACTTCGAATGCTAATGCTATCATAGGCATCCTGGATATGTATGGGCCTAATGTTGTCACCGTGAGTTCATCTTTTCGAAAATAACAAGTGAGGTCCTGGACTGACCTGTCTAGTGTGAGGACAAAGAATGGTCTCATCACCGTCGATACACAGCAACAACGTTCCACGAAAAGAATAACGCCCTGGTATGGGAGGAGTCTATTCAACAAACGCAGGATATGATCGAGCAATGGGCGGAAGCTTCTCCGCTAGATTCAACTCGTGGACCGGGATTCACGGCGGAATGTACTAGAGACGACATCCACAAGCTTACTTTGAACGTGCTGTCTGGCGCTGGGTTTGGAGTAAAAGCGCCCTTTAAGCCACTACCCCAGGACTCGCTCAAGAATGAGGACATTTTCAGGGACAGTCCCACCCCACCAGCAGGTTTCGACTTCACGTTCGGAGCAGTAGTGGCTTACATGAATGTGAACATCCCCACCATGGCGCTGGCGAACAATATGTTACCTAAGTGGATCCCGAGAGTGTTGGTTCCATTCTTCAAGAAGGACTTCGCAGCTCACCGAGATCTAGACAAGTATCTGCAGAGATTGATCACTACCACGGAGTCCAGATTAAGCGGACAAGAAAACCCCTCGAATCTTATTGAAGGCATGCTAATCTCCAGGAAGCCTGGAGACAGCAAGGACTCAGGTCTTTCCGACCGAGAAATCATCAGCAACATGCACTTATTTACCATTGCTGGGCACGAAACGACAGCAACAACTCTGAGGTTTGCTTTTGTACTGCTTGCCCTGCATCAAAATGTACAAGATTGGGTATATAACGGCATATCAGAGGCTGTCAAAGATGAACCGCCGAGTATTGGGGACTGGAACTATGATGAAGTTTTCCCCAAGCTTGTCACCCCTCTTTGCGTGATGGTACGCCGAATTCACTTTCTGTATAGCTGGTGACAAGCTAACTGCAATTTAGCTCGAAACGATGCGTCTCTACCCTCCGGTTATCACCGTACCAAAATGTACAGGGAACACCCCGAGCGTCATCCACTACGACGGTAAAGACTATGTTTTGGAACCCGATATTGACATCAACTTGAATCTGGGCAGCCTTCACTATTCTGAAGAATACTGGGGGGACGATGTCACCCTCTATCGACCGCAGAGGTGGGATGCGCGCAATAAGGACAGTTTCTTGGCCGGAAATGACGATTTACCTGGACTTGCTGGCCCTGGGTTGGAATATCCGACTATCCATAAGCCAGTTAGAGGTGCCTATATTCCATTCAGCGACGGGTTCCGCGCTTGCTTGGGGAAGAAGTTCTCGCAGGTCGAATTTGTCGCTGCGCTTACGACAGTCCTCCAACAGTACAGGATTGAGTTAGCCGACAGCAGTGAAAAGGGCAGACTGAATGCTGAAAGGGTATTGAATAAAAGCACCGCGATTATTACCCTGGCTATGAGGGAGGAAGTACCGCTGCTTTTCCGAAGGAGATGAGTTCTTGGAGAAGCTGATGCGTGATGGCGGATTGGCTGGCATAAAGCAGGATGACACTAATGAATGCCCAAATAGCCAAAACAAAGCCAGACAGAGTAGGATGTATAGAAAGAATGTAGCAACTGACAATGGAGTAACCACAAGCTTAGTGCTCGGTGAAAGTCTTTGTGGTGTAGGTGCTTTGTTAATCTTCTATCTGGAGCTGGTGTGTTTGAGGCGGGTTTGTCTGTCCGGCACCAAAGAAAGGCTGTTTACTTCTGCACACACGCCGAGATACTCCACTCTTAGCATCAGTGAATGGCTTCCTGGCTGCAGCAATATGTGTTCGTCCGCTTCTCACCGTTGCTTTCTCACTTTCCCTACTTTCACCACTCCTCACCTGATCTTGCTCGGCGCTTCTCGGCGCAGCAACCATCTGTTCAACTGAGGTCGTCTCCATCACATCTCCACTGCTGGTGGACACCAACAGACCCACGATGGAGAACTACCCAGATCACTGGAAGGCTACTCTCCTCGGAGAGGAGTTCTGGAAAGACGCTGAAGCTTACAACCAGCCCATTCATGACCGCATCGAAGCAGGTGAGTAATGAACCTCACCTCTTCTCTCTGTCTACAGTCTCCATCCCCTCATCATCTAACTCATACTCTTTCTAGATCAAGACAAGCCTCTGCACGAAAGATTCCCATTCAACCAAGAACATGAGCGAAACCCCCATGCCCCTGCTGCCAGCAGCGCCAACCCAGACAAACGCAGAAGCCGTCGGTTCAGTATGAACGATGCGGCGTTCACTGGCACTCCCCTAGCAACAGCTCGTGTCGCTGAACTCTCCAGACGCCCACGTTCGCAATCTCGCACGCGCTCCCAATCCCAAGTCCGAGGGTCCAGCGTCGCGTCCAGCCGTTCGAGCTCGCTCATCCGCTCCGCCCTGTACAGAATGGCTAACTTGATGCGGGAGGAGTCTGAAGATGAGACCGAGGTGGGATCAGTCCAGCTCCTATCTGCAGATGAAGCTACCCCGGAGAAGCCTCTCTTGGAGTTCCGCGGCGGCGAGACCTGGGAGCGTCTTACTGATGACCGTCATTCGCTCGGACTTGACGTGTTCTGGCCTCAGGAATTGGACAATAAGGAGAACATCAGTGACATTGACAATAAAACCGACAGCAAAACCGAGCCGGCACTCATCATGCTTGATCTTGAGCAGATGTCTCCTCTTTGTCTATTTCGCAACCTCCGCAGCCTGAAGATCATTGGCATGATGCAGTCATACCAGAAATATATCTGGCAGGCTGCCTGGTTGAACATTGACCTTGAGGAACTGGAGCTTGGCATGGCCTTGCATCCCCGCATCCGCAAGAACAAGACTGGCGATTGGCCCTTCATTAAGGGAGGCTGGAAGCTCAACAAGGCTCACTATGCGGAACCAGTTTACTTGTAAGTTCCCTTCACAATCCCATCTCGTGCATACTGACATAGTAACCATCACCAGCGGCGACGGCACCGGCGCACTCGACCACAACCTGGGCCAAGCCGAATACCTCGACAAGATGGTCATCGAGAAGGCCAAAGTGCGCGCCATGTCTGTGGGCCGCACTCGCCAGAAGCTATCCATCCGCACACTGACTCTCTTTGGATTCATCGTCGACGCGGACCCGTTCCTGCATTGGTTTGACACTAAGAGACTGCAGAGAATCCATTTCAAGGACTACTGCGTGGACGCCGGCTTCTGGCTCAGCAAGCCGATGAAGAAGGTGGAGGTGGATTTCCCGCGCCAGATGCAGGAGAAGGTGAGTACTGCCAGACGGGTTGATTTGTCGTCTGAGCTGAAGGTTATTGAATTGAAGGGTGGTAAGAAGATCAGTGAGAAGAAGTATACCGGTCCGGAGTCGCTTAGTGAGTTTACCTTGTCTTTTCTGGTTTTGGTGTGTGGCGGGTTTGTTGACGGTTTGCAGAATAGTGACCTGATTGATGGCCTGGTACTTACTCGAGACTTCGATGAGGGATGAGTTATGATTGAGCTGATATTCGATTAATGATCCAGATTGATGTTCTTTATGTTCATGACTTTTAAGTTTCTAAATGGCTTGCCATTCTAGCGAGAAGCATCACCACTATATGGGATGCGATTATCACCAGCCAACGAATAATGTGTCAAAAAATGTATTAGGATTAGCCTAGGGAGAGATAATATGATAACGAGCAATCCTCCAATTCCTTTTCCTTCTGCACATAGATAACAAGTACTAAGTACACATCCACAAGCCATAATCTCCTGCCAATAATAGATGGTGGTAAGGATAGGCTGATGAAATCCGATTTGCCACCGTGCTTACTAAGACAGCACCGGTGGCTCAGTGGTAGAGCGTCGCACTCGTAATTGGTGGTATGCGAAGGTCGTGGGTTCAATCCCCATCCGGTGCAGCTATATATCTGTTTTGTTTTGTTTTGCTGATAGCATATACAATCATTTTTTTCTGACGTTAGGTACATCCCTATATAATTGATGTTGATTTTTATGCTCCTCATTCAAGGAGGATATGGTTTATTATCTGCATTTGGAAGATCACGAAAAACTATACTAGTTGAACGTCTCATGAATAAAGAAAGCTCTCTGCAATATTTTGTCCAAACCAGTAACTAGTCACTCTGTAAAGGTAGCGTAACATACATAGTATTTATATGGTGCTGAAGAAAGAATGAGTAACACGTAACAAAAGACCTACAACCTGGGCGCTCCTTCCTGCCTCCTACTTGGTTACTTCCTACCATCACCCAGAGCTGTGATCCGAGACTTCCTTCTACCTGACGCTTGTAACAAGTTCGCGGTCTTCTAGTCATCTCTTGCCTTTCAAGATTCTCTTCTGCATCAAATGCCTACCAACACGCTAAACAGCATATCAATTCGATATATCGTGTCAATCTGGAGAGCAAACAGGAGAGCATTTCCCATTATTATTCTAATGGTGATGGCTTCTCCAAGTGGCGAAAGGTATAGAACACACTTGCCATTCATGACCTCTTCCTCTCTCCTTCGCCTCTCAGAACCTGCTAGCTAACTTGAAAAACAGGCTGGATTTTTGGTTATCGATCACAACGCATTTTGGACTATATCAATAACACTGATCCCGCTCACGGGTCTGAATTGGACATAACAACCCATGCGTCTTCTCCTTCATTCCCACTCACGACTATGGATCAACCAAGATCCATCACAGCTTCTACTTATATGGATGAAGTTGCATACAAAGATGCCCTTTTTTGCCGCAATATGATCCTCGGATAGGAATCTCCTCCGTCATACACGGAACGCAAACCAGACTACGAGTTACCGTCTACATTGAAAGTACCTACAGAAGCCGAACACTCTCTCAAACATGCATACCTGAATAGGAATTGTGTTGTCGGTCTGGCTGCATTCAGCTTTTCTATGCCCTTCTTTTTTCACTACTTCAACCACTGAATGGCTCACTTGGTTGTCGGAGTTGAACTTTGACGTATCAATGCAATGGAAACCCGGGCAGAGAGCACTCATATAGCTCTCATGGGTTTGAGCATTTATCCCCTTAAATGCGGTTGATTCCACCTATTGGTATGGGAAAATACATTTTGCATTTATGTACACTGATCAATGGTGTCACTCTTGCGAATCGGGAAGTTCATCGGTTACTAATCGCTCATCGCACAATTTCTAACACCCTTGCAGGTAACCGGCGAGCAACTCCCTGGAGCACCTTGAGGTGCGAGGGACAGTGCTACGACCTCTCAGTATATCAGACCCCGACATCGTCGTTGGCTATAACTGGAAATCGATACGTGGAAATTATAAGCTTGCTTTACATGAGTTGCCAGACAGTCTCAAGTTCGCGTTCCCTATATTCGTGGATGGACATTTTGCTTTCCCCTTCTTTTCGGTCGAGATGAGAATCGACGCAGAGCAAGACCCTCTCCGGAACCTCCACTTGGCCGCCTTAATGCTCAGAGGCCTGCGATACTTCTACCAAGAGGCCTACGGAAAAAACGACGAAGCCGACAAGTTCGACGGTAAGGTACGAGTACTTATGCCTACGATCAGTCGCAGCGATGTGAACGTATTCGAACACTGGACGAACAGCGACCCAGGAGATCCGAACGTTACTTACGAGCACTTTCTTATTAAAAAGTGGCACTTCGAAGAAATGGAAGAGTTATATGTGGCACGACATGGTTTAGAGACACTCTGCAAGTGGATTGCTTCTGGCTTGCAAGAATTGGCCAAGGCTTGATGTGATATTTCCATTTTCATGCCGAGCACTTGGATTAGATATTTGTCCGCCCGCTCTCGCTTGCTCTCTCTCCCCCTCTCCTCTCTCTCTTCGTTTGTGGTATGTGTGTGGCATGTTTAGAACTTAGATGTGACTATCAATAAAAGTCAATCATTCGCTGAGAGGCGCCCTTACCAAGTACATAGCATGTTTAGGAAGTAGAACTTTCCGCGCGAATCGAAAACCTGTCTCAAGTATGATGTGATATTAGCAAACAACACCCATTCACAGACGACTCGAGCTACACCAACAAGATAAGATGTTAACCTCTTCACCTCTCTGTAGAAAGCCTTCGATATTTGTATTCCCCCGGAACAAGCGATCTAGGAGCTGCATTTCCTCATAAGACGAGTAATAACCATAGAAACATAGCATATATTGGATATAAGCATGGCTTTTGTAAATAATAGTGCTACTAATCAACGCTCGTCCAGTCTGGGAAGACGATGAATGTGCTAGACTGTACATCACACAGTTTACCCTAAAGCAATCACAGCTCTCAACTCATAATTGTAGATTAACAAGCATCAATTTTTTGATTTGAAAGAGCAGAGACAAGGCTCCCCCTTGCTTCATCAATTTAGGTAACCCTCAGATTCACCCAGCCCGCCACATACTCACCCGACAGCAGAAAATTCACATATCGCCTTTACTGCAGCGTTGAATCTGCAGGGATATTTGGAATAGAGTATGGAATTGTATAGGGCTAGCTGGGAATTTGTCTCAATTACCCGTGCTCTATTACCTACAGCCTGTCTTCATTCATATCCAAATGCTGTAGGATTCACGGCACATTCCGTAGATTTCACTGCATCTTCCCGTCTTCCATGGATATAAAAGGACGGAAGTTTCCCTGCTAGATCTTTCCTTCTTCCTACATCCTTCTCTATCTTTCTTATTATAATTAATATCAAGAAGAAAATATTTATATTATTAGCCATCAAGACCACTGAGATGTCTTCTATACCGAGCAATTATGACATCTACTACGGTGGCCACCTGTTGTATGCTATGACGCACGATCGTTATAAAAACTACAAACTGTACTATACATTCTTATCGACCAAACAGTCCCACGGCAACCACGAGACAATCAAAGAATTATCAGCAGAGCGGCTCACGAACCGCGCCTCTTGAATACAGTTGCCATCAATTACTTCCGCCCACGGACAATGTTTCTTTGTCTTGGCATGGCACGAGAGTCTCACATGGGACTGCTGGGACAATAGAATGCGCTGGGCCCTATAGACGGCACTACTCCGCACCGACCTCACCCTTCATATGCTCTAGGAGCCCTGTTGGGCATGCGAGTCGAAGGGAACCCACATTTGTATGTGTATGGCGATATCTGATGCTGATTTCCCTGCACTCAATCGAGCCAATCGAGGAAGTGCAATGGCATATACATACAATGATCCATTATTGTTGCCTCGCCAAGCCATGCTGGCAAAGAATCCAGCTATCAGGGAGGTAACATGCCGTCTAGCAATTGCACCCCTCCAGAGAGTGGTGTCGGACACTACGACAGCCGAGAATTGCTCTTTTTATTCGAAGAGAGCTCGAAGCCTTTGACGGGCTGGGCTGCAAATACAATATCCCAGTACAACTTTATCGAACTTGGGATCGGGATCCATGAAAGCTAATGCCGACTTCAGCAATATATCGCCCCGTGCAGACAGTTTCGTCAGGAAGTATAAGCTGACTGGCAAGACTACCTGCAGACAGAGACTGAGAGCAACGCGGAGGCTATACGAGAATCTGGGGCCTACGGATACCATAAAAACTTAGCGATGCAAACTAATCCTAAGAACATGCAGCCTGGGTCCTTAACAAAGTCTTAAGTGCAACTCTTTCCGTCCAGTACTCTGGTTACATTCATTCTCTTGCCCTACTTCTACCGGCACTATATCCAACGCTATACTGAGTGATATACCTGTTGCCGTTACTCTTCTACCACCATGACCCCCACTACGACGAGCAATTCCTCCGGCACGATATACACAGGTATCTACTGTCCATACCGCAACACGGAAACAAACAGTATAGTTGTCACGGAAATTTTAAACCGAACTTGTCTTTTGCCACGAAATGGACAATGATGTACTGAAGATTGATGGACATGCTGAAACCGTTCGACCTAGCGGATGAATCAACCGGCAATCATTCTGGCAGTGGCTAGCGACCCCAACAGAAGTTGGGAATTGGTTCTCCAAACCTTTGCGGAACCCTAGTTTGAAGCAACACCAAATTTCAAGTTGAATACCTCCTCGAATACTCCTTGCTTAGAGACCATGCATACGACACACTCCATCTAATGCACCAGATGTGCGGCTCTTCCTACTATACCATTGGGCAGATATTCAATGAATTCTGCCAGCCCTGGTGCCGAACATGCCCAAACTTTGGGCCATTTCTCTATCTTCCAACCATGGAGAGATGTTGTTACGAATGCAACATATACAAAAAATCGTACGGATTAGGCTGTGTGTCCGATACATGCTACCATTTCGGCCTACGTACAGAAGTCTTACCGATTTCCCTCTTATATAAATCATTCGGCTTCATGAGCCCTGAAACTGCATGGCAAGCATTGGGAAAGGATCTTATCACGGTATGCCTCCCTGGTTTTAGACACTCTGAGCATTGCTCTTGTTGCCCTTGTGTTTGGGGCGGATCTATATACAACATAGATACAGCACATTTCAATGTGAAAAGAAAAGAAAGGTCCGGAAATCTTCTATTATGTCGATAATGAGAGTGCCACAGCAATACACCACACGTTTGACAACAAGAAAGCTATCAAATCGGATTGGCAGCTGGGGAAGTCTGTCACTTGCTGTGGATTTTTATGACAGTTTCGAAGTCATCGCCTGAAATGAATTCTGGTGTGGTCCTAGGGCCACGGAATGACTGCTGGAGGAATACAGCTGTCTCCTTGTGAGTGTTTCTTTTTGGTGTATCAAAACCCAGCAGTTCATGCTCATACGGTTTCTTCTGATACTGACCTCTACTCACAGTAAATCCTCTCTGCTGCAAGCTCGGTGTCACTGTGATCGGGGTTACATCGATACCATCAGTCTAGCACTCCACGGCATTGCCAACCGAATACATCCAGAATTGAGGACTGGGTCCTAGGGGCTCATGATAAAGAATTCTAAAGGCGAACAGGAATTCAAGATGTACTCGACCGGCTCATGGCTGCCAACTGCGACATTGGTTAGGATCCCGAAACTTGGGAATAGGTTTGGTGTTCAAACTCCACTAGGAAATACAAGCGGGAGTTCCAATAACCTCCCGCAGGGCCTATGAAGCGGACTAGCGGCGTGCCGTCGGCCATTTCCTCCACGTCCTCTTGACGTACCAAACTGAGGGCTGTCGCAAATGAGAAACGGCAGGCTTCATTCTGGCTCCGGTCTCCGCATGTTCTTCTGAACTGACATGCACAATGTCTCAGCTACACAGTAGCTAGGAAGAGATTCACCTATCGGAAGAGCATTTTGCTCAACCAGTTGAGCTTTCTCTGTTTACCACATCGCGGTAGTCCAAACGGTGCTCTTTGGACAGTTGATAAACCACCATTGACATTCGAGGAAGGGATATCGTTGGCATACCATGCCAAACAACACAAACGCAGAGTTGACCTCTATAATACACAAGATATGCTGACTCTATCCAACAAGGTCATTTGAGATACTTGGGCCGTGACGATCAAGGCATGGAAAGAATGTGCTTTGATGCTTGATGTGCCGTGGCCTGTTGACTGAGCCAGAAGGATCCCAACAGCATCAATATCAGCAGGCTCTCAGCAAGTCTCTACTATTTCACGTGCGAGAAACCAGGCACGCATACCCGTTACACGTTTCTTTTCTTTTTTTCCCTTGAGAATGAATCAGCTTGCCGGCCCTAGTGGCCGAGGAGGCGGCCGAGGAGGGAGAGGACAAGGAATCGTGTGTATCAAAGCTGTTAATCCTTGTTATTATAGGATGTACAAGTTAGTAACGGAACTATGCAGCGAAAGAGGAATGTCTGCCGGACCTGCGGACGCCGTGGGCATGGCCACGGCCAATGCTTCCTCGTTCGTGGTCTCGAAGTTTTGACAAGTTACCTCTATTTGGAATCTCAGTATATCCGTCTAGAATGGGGCCAGGAAATTCAAGCATGAATGTTACTGGGCCCCTGCCGGCGTTCTCTCTCTTATGGACAGACCGGAATTCTTTGAGGCAGTCAGAGCCAAAGCCATTGCTGGTCTTGTTGGTGATGTTCTCTACTCGGTTTATCGCAATCCTCCTCAATAAATCGAGCAGCTTCATCATATATCTTTTTGTGGTATCAGCATCCGAAGGCCTTGGAAATCCTTCAGACGTGCATTCTGTGTCAGAATACACTGGGCCTGGGACCCGGAGAAAAACAGCATGAGGATTTGGCCGCCTGCTGCGATGCGATAGAAACTAAAAACTCATTGTGAAGCAAATGAACATGTCTTCATCTAAGGAGCAACCGTTATAGTGCATCATGGCTCCTAGTATTCTGTGAAGAAGCTTAGTATGAGGAAATTTCCCCCCTCAGACACTTCCTTGCTACGACTTGAGAATTGCAGTGGCATGATGAACGCAATATGCCAAGATGCGAGTCTTTTCCTGCGAGACTGAATGTGGTCCTCCACCTATAAACACACATGGCAATTCTGAAACTGGCCCGGGGCATTCAGCCATTTTACACTACGCATACGTTACGCATACGAAGGAGGTATAAGGGGCAAATAGCAGTCCGCATAAAAATACACTTCGCCCATCATCCGAGACGATTCCTACTACTGCGGAGGCCGCTGTGCAAACGAGGTTGGTAAATTAACTGACAATTAACACGGCAATCAATACATCAACATTCAAAAGCGAGCTGGAGATCACCTGGGACTCGTTTCATCTAGCAATAAATCATCGGCAACCATCGTCTCCTGTGAT